ACCCTTGATGTTGGTGTGTTCCCAAGTGAAAAGCAGTAGGAGGTTCTGCACAATAGCACAACGGCTGTGTCTCCTTCTTGTGAGTTGTGCTGCATTGTTGTCACCCTAGCAAAGTACATTTGAAGATTTCCCTAGATTTTTCTGCCAGATAATTGTTCTCAGAGCAATCTGTGGTCTTCAGTGCCCCCCGCCTTGGGTGTTTTGAGCTGTGTTTAGTTGTGAGTATCTGAAGTTGGTGAGCCTAGTGTCTGCATGCTGCTGCCATCTTGCCGAACTCTGTAGTCTTTTAGACTCAAATCCTGTGAGTAGAGTCTGAATCATCTCTATTTTACTATCACATGTTATCCATTGACAAATCCACTTGATTCTTCTTGAAAAATATATCAGATTGTGTCTATTTCTCTTCATATCTAATGTCAACAATCATAGCCAAGTCACTATCATTATATACATAGATGACTATGACTAGTAGTCATAATAATCTCCTAGTCAGTTTTTTTAATTCATTACCCATAATAATAAACAACTACATCAGTATTTTTTAAGATTGAATGGTGTCAGTCACCTGTTTACATTGTCTCAATGGCATTTTATTGTGCTTTACTTCCAAATTCCCTACAAGAATATATAAGAACATACTTGGTCTCACCACTTCTCATTTTTCAACCTCAACTCTTACCACTATTTTTCCCATTTTCACTCTTGAATATTTAGTTCCCAGGAGAAAGTCATAGCAAAGGCATGCCATACATATTTGTTAAATGAGTTAATGAATAAGTGTTTGGTGAAAATTTGGTGCTCAATGAAATATTATAATAATTATCAGCATATATCATTGCATTTTTTGTTACATTAGTCTTTTCCACTCAACAATTACTATAGACTTGGAATTTTGAATTAAATAATAATCTATTCTACAGTAGAAGTAAGTGTATAATATTTTAGTCTTATTGTATATAAGATTTAATATATATGTGTGTGCGTGTGTGTTTATGTATATATGATGTCTCTATATAAAGACCTTGCCTAAAATAACACTAATAAAATATATGGAATTGATATATTAGTGTTGTCATAAGGAACCATTTATAGTCTCTCATGTTACTTTAAACCTTTCACATAAAAAAAAGGACCCCTGATTTCTCATTGAGTTTTCTAACATTCTAAATTTAATGAAAAGTTATTATTCCATTTACCTCAGTAAAATTTGCATGATCATGAGAATAAACATGGGTCTTCAAGTCTTTGGTCTATGCAAAGTATAGGGAAGGTTAAGACTATTCAGATAATTTCCCAGTGAGAAAGATAATCTTGGCCTTTGTTTCCTCCTCCTTCTCTATATGGCCAAAGTCCAGAACAAAGTTGTTTCCCCCTTAGATATTTCCAAATACTTAGTTACTCTGAACCATCTAGTTGTTTGACAAAGTCTTGTATTACAGTGTTTGGTACGATATAGAGGGAAACTTTCTCTGTTGCCATAGGGAACAGTGGAAAGGACTCAGTGAAAATGAATAAAAATGATTTGGTTTATAGTCATTTTGTGTCTATACCAGAATTTTTGCACATCTGATGAATTATTTATGTATGTATGTATGTATTTTATTTTTTTATAGAGGCATGCTTTTTTATTTATTTGTTTGTTTGTTTGTTTGTTTGTTTTGTTTATACATGCACTGGGTACAGTCAGAGGCATGGGAGGGTGAGAGAATTCACCAGAGCCAGAGCGAGGAACAGAGCAGGCAGAAGGACCGAAGTACACTGCTGAGGGGAGCAGCAGGCAGCAGGAGAGGTCTGCGCGTCATGTGGGACCCTCCTCAGGTGGCTGGGGAGCAGCCGGGGATCAAACCTGCGCCACGGAGGCTGCAGGCAGCTTCTCAACCCAGCGCTCAACCGCTGCGCCACCGGGGAGGCCCTTATTTATTTATTTAATAAAGATTTTTATTTATACGAGAACCGGGATACAGGCCAGATGTGCAAGAGGGTGAGAAGATTCACCAAAGACAGAGTGGGAAAAAGAACAGGCAGACTAATGAAATGCACTGCTGAAGGGAGCAGCGGTTGAGACAGGAGAGGTCTGCTTGCCATTTGGGTTGCTCCAAGGCCTGCAGAGATGGAACCGGCACTGCAGAGGCTGCGAAGAGCTTCACAGTGCTGCGCTCATCAGTCTGCACCACCAGGGAGGCCCTGATGAATTTTTTAAAACTATTAGTATTCCTGAAGAAACATTATAATTATATAAATTCGTAAACAACAATCACCTGCCTTCAAAATGTGGTGCTTAAGGAGTTAGTCACTTTAAAATGACTTGAGTTCCTTGACTGGTCAAAATGATAACATCCAAACTGAATATATTATACAATACTTTAAACTCAAGTCACAATTTTTCAGTTTCCTTTTGCAAATTATTTTACAATTTGCTGTAGGCAGCTCGGGGAAAAATCCTTCTTTGCACGAGTGCAAATTGAAATAAATGATATTCAAGTATACTAAATTTCTATGTTGGAAGGAAGTTCCAAACATGTAGCCTTCCAGACATTTGAGTCTTCACGATGTGGAAATTTTTCCTGAATCAGAAATACATAACTGATTACTGTGAATTATATAAGACTGTAATTAATTTGAAGACTCTAGAGGACCAAGTGAGTAGCCAGAGAAATTTCTGTCTTCTCCACCTAGCCACAGAGTGTCCTTGGAAATTTAATAACAAAGTGGAACAAATCTTGAATATATATAACCTTATTTACTATATAAATATTTGCATATCTAGTGTTGATTTCCATCAATACAGCCTAGCACACATTGCACCCATTTTTTAATGAATTATTTTATTTTATATAATTGCTAAAACAAGTTTCATTTTTGCATAATGTATGTATTTTCATTTTGGTTATATTCCCCAAACAATTCCCACTCCCTTTTTCTGACCATAATACCTCTTCTCCTCTCCCTGCCTCCCACTATAGTGTGTCTCTGGTCTATAGTTACTTGTTGATTTTGATTTTTACTTTATTGCAATTAGTCTTTTTCCTGGTCCTGTATTTAGGTTTTCTGGATTCCTGCTATGAGTGAGACCATCCGGTGTTTTTTTTTTTTTTTTTTTTTTTTTTTCTTTCTAGTTTATTTCTCTGAGCATGATCCCTTCCAACTCCATCCATGTTGCTGCAAATTGCATGAGTTTATCTTTTTTGATTGCTGAGTAATATCCCATTGTGTACATATACCACATCTTCTTTTTTTTGTTTTGTTTTTAATCATATTTATTTTTCCAAACTATTACAAATTTTGAACATATAGCTCCAATTAAAAAATCTTATAATGAATATCCATATATCCACCTAAATTTTGTTAACATTATGCCACGTTTGCCTTATCAAATATTTATCCATTTATTATCTCTGTATTCAATCAAAATATACCACATCTTCTTAATCCAGTCATCTATTATTGGGCATTTGGGTTGGTTCCATAGCTTAAATATTGTAAATAGTGCTGCTATAAACATAGGGGTGCAGGTGCCCTTTTGAGTTAATGTTTCTGTGTCCTTTGGGTAAATACCTAGGAGTGGAATTGCTGGATTATATGGAAGCTTCATCTTTAACATGTGGAGGAATCTCCACACAGCTCTCCATAGTGGTTGGACCATTTTGCACTCCCACCAGCAGTGCAGGAGAGTTCCTTTTTCTCCAAACCCTCGCCAACATTTGTTGTTGCTAGTTTTTTTTTTTTTTTTTTTTTTTTTTAATATGTGACATTCTCACTGGTGTAAGGTGGTATCTCATTGTAGTTTTGATTTGCATTTCCCTGATTACAAATGATGTTGAACATTTTTTCTGTGCCTGTTGGCCATTTGCATTTCCTCTTTGGAGAAATTTCTTTTTTTTTTTTTTAAAGATTTATTTATTTATTTATACAAGCAGTGGGTACAGTCAGTAGCATGGGAGGGTAGGAAAATTCATCAGAGCCAGTGCAGGGAGCAGAACAGGCAGAAGGACCGAGGTACACTGCTGAGGGGAGCAGCGGGCATGGCGGGAGAGGTCTGCACGCCATGTGGGACCCTCGCTGGTGGCCGGGGATCAAACCGGCACTGCAGAGGCTGAGGGCAGCTTTGCAGCCCAGCGCTCAACTGCTGTGTCACTGGAGAGGCCCTGGGGAAATTTCTTTTTAGCTCTTCTGCCCAATTTTTGACTGGATTATTTTCTTTGTTTTTTTTTTTTTTTTGAGTCTCATTGGCTCTTTGTAGGTTTTTGCACCCATTTTTTTTTAAATGAGGAAACTCTAGTGCTGAGAAGTTGAAAGTTTTTAATGTTTTTTAATAGAGGAACTGAAATTTGAACCTAAGTATTATTTTCCCTCCAAGGTCCTCTTTGCTATGCCTTGGTGTCTATTTGGAGACATTTTACTTTGTAGGAGACCCATCCCCTTCCTACTATACCTACAGTAGTTTGGAATTACCTACACAGTTTCGTCTTTGCTTTAACTTATGTGGGAATTATACACAATTTTTTATATATTGGGGAGGTTATTACATGTATAATTGTATAATTAGTCCATACTCAATCCTGAAAATTTGGGAAAAAAAACCAAAAAAACATATTCATAAAGCAAAAAAAAAAAAATCCTCTTAAGATGCCCTATGTTTAATATTTTATGGCCCATGCTCCCTAAAGCTTTCTGATCAGAGCATAGTTTTACATATAGGATGCTTTTTCTAACATCCATATGAGAGTATAGTTTGGTCAGACACACCTAATATTGGATTTGTGTATTCCAGATTAACAAAGGGGGAAAAAGGTGTTGATCTAAGCAGAGCAGTATTAAGAAGCTATATCACTACTCCATCAAATCACAAAGGAAACAGATAAAGGAAAGTCAAAGATTTTATTTTTTTTGAATTTATTAACATCATCAAAACCTCCTATACATTAGTGTATGCCATTTGAGTGTCCCAAACTGGTTGCCTTTTTTTGCTGCTAAATGCCCATTCTGTTTACTTTTTCCAGGTTTTGACAATCATGATCACATGGATGCATCTAACTAAACGATACCTGGGGACATTGTGGTCCATTAAAGAACACATCTAAATTTCTGGCTATTTCTTTGCTCTGCCACTCAACATAGGACTTTGATTTTCTCTATACAAACCCTCCTAAATTTTCCCCACTATGTTGTCTTCAGTAGCTTGAACTCTTTTCCTAAAATGGTCCTTCTGTTGATCTTGTCAGTCCTGCTTTTGAAAGAAGATGTCCGTGGGAGTGCCCAGTCCAGTGAGAGGAGAGTGGTGGCTCACATGCCAGGCGACATCATTATCGGAGCTCTCTTTTCTGTCCACCACCAGCCCACTGTGGACAAAGTTCATGAAAGGAAGTGTGGGGCAGTCCGAGAACAGTATGGCATTCAGAGAGTGGAGGCCATGCTGCACACCCTGGAGAGGATCAACTCAGACCCCACACTGCTGCCCAACATTACACTGGGCTGTGAGATACGGGATTCCTGCTGGCATTCTGCTGTTGCCCTAGAGCAGAGCATTGAGTTTATAAGGGACTCTCTCATATCTTCAGAAGAAGAAGAAGGTTTAGTGCGCTGTGTGGATGGCTCTTCTTCTTCCTTCCGCTCCAAGAAACCCATAGTCGGGGTCATTGGGCCTGGTTCCAGTTCTGTGGCCATTCAGGTCCAGAACTTGCTTCAACTTTTCAACATACCTCAGATTGCTTACTCAGCCACAAGCATGGATCTGAGTGACAAGACTCTATTTAAGTATTTCATGAGGGTTGTACCTTCAGATGCCCAGCAGGCACGAGCCATGGTGGACATTGTGAAGAGGTATAACTGGACTTATGTATCAGCTGTGCACACAGAAGGTATGGTTCTTTACTTCTAATGAGTATGGATTATTATGACCTCAACTGGTTTTCAGTTAAAATTTTAGATTTTGGAAAACTAAAATGCTTCCATTTATTAGGGATCCTTTGAATCCTCTATTGGTACCAGTAATATAAGAATGGGCTATGTGACTGATGTCTAAAGAGATACAGACTTAAATGAATATGAGTGTTTATGTGACCATCATTTGATGAAATTATTTTTTTTCTTTCATTTTGTATTATTACACTGTCTGCACATTTGCTATAATGATGCCAGATATGTTAGCTTGCGAGACTTCATTGAATGCCTCACATTGTTTTTTAAACATTTTAAGGCTGCTTCAACTGCTTATTTTTTTTTTTTTCTGGTAAAGAGAAACCAATAAGACCTGAAGGAAAATTTAGTCCTGCCTCAGGTATGCTGTTATAAAAATACCATACGTTTTAAACTCACACATTTTTTCCTAGTTAATTGGAGATTCTGAATTGGAGATTCCTATGAATTAATTTTATCCTTTTATGGAGTACTCTCAGGAAATTTAAGTTTTAATAATTCAACAATTGTTTGCTTTGCAATTTAGTGCTTCTTTATGCTCAAATTAAGTGAAGAAGGAAAATGCAACTGAAGTTTTATAACAATTAATAATATTAGCTCTTCTTATTGTTAATGTTGCTTTTTAAATGTTTTTGCATACATTATTTCTAAGTTCTCATCCAAGATTGGAATAAGTTTGGCTTGAACCACAGAGGTTAAATGACCAAAGTGGTGAGACTCACTGGTTATACAATACTCTATGATGATATACTGCATAAATTAAACATCATAAAATACAGAAGGTACAGACCACTTTTATAGCTCATTGAATCATTGTAAAATTTAGTTGAGATAGAACATCATCAACAACAAAACAGTCACTCTGTCAGTGTGGTGAAAATTATCCAATTCTTAAAATGTGGGGTCAAGTTGTTGGGAAATTAATGAAATAACCAAAGTGAGTCACTTCAGAGGGCGGTACCCAATCACCAATCAGACAGAGCAAAATTCTTTGTTGAGTGATATAACATGGATTCCACTCTATACTTAATAATATTCAGAGCTACATGAACATAGTGTAGACTTCTACACTGTAGTGAAACTTCTGTGCGTCTGAAAATTTTATATTTAAATTTAGTAGTTTACTTCCTGAGATGTTGCTATGTAGTTTTTAAGATGCCAGAGATTTTTCTTCAAAACCCAATTATTTTATTTGATTCTCAAAAGTTAGTGCTATACACAATTCAGATATTTTATTCCCATTTAAAAATACAAAATTTCTCTTAAGAGTAAATAGTTCATCTAACGAGTGTGTAACAGTTTTTTCAGAGCCAGGAGTAGGGCTTATAGCTACTGACTTCTAGTTCAGTATCTTACTAGAATGTAAATAAATCCAATAAAATTACATCTTGAGGATATATCATGCAATTCATGTTTATTAAGCACAAATATCTGAAAGACCCTCTGAAAATCTTGCAAAGGGCAGACCTGTGTTTTATGTATCGTGACCCTACATGACCATGGTGTCTGGTGAAGGAGAAGAGACATAGGCTAAAACTTGCATAACGCATAGTTCAAGATGACACCAAGTCACAAATATGTCTCTAAAGTAAATTGAGGAGAGGAAGTTTGAGGTGACTTGTATTTCAGTTTCAGTGATAATCCTGTACACTTGTTATTTCTTTTATTTGTGTTTTTTGCTGGCCACAAGACTGTCTACAGTGACTTGTATTGCACAGACATTGTGTCTAATCCTCTAGGGAAAGATCTGTAATAGTATAGAAAAAAAAATGAAAAGAGAAAGAATTTTTTGCAATAAAGATACAATAGCGCTTCAACTGTGTGGAGGAAGGAAACATGCGATGACACAAGAAAAAGTTTTATTCCTTTTAAGAGAATCAGTCCAGTTACGGCTCTGTTCTCAGAAAATATAAGGGTGCTTTACCTTAGAAATTTTGCAAGCCTTGTATGTCCGCTATGGCACAGGATCAATGGTGCTTGCTTGTTTAGTGGTTTGACAGATCAGCTGTTTGATGGCTTCGATTAATGACACCCTTTGATTTGTAACAATAATTCGCTTCCACTCTGATGTAGCAATAACCTTGTAATTGTTTTGGTCAGTACAATTTGTTGGAAATGAGGTGTCTGTTTCTAGTTGGTCTGCCTTTACTATGGGAAGGATGAGGGTACCCAAGCATTCTTTATGAGCTATGTTAGATCAACTATCCTCAACTATGTGAGAGCATTCAATCAAAATCAACACAATCTTCTGGACCCACAGTTAATTGCAATCACACAACAGTACCTAGCTTAAACCATAAACACTAGATAGCAGGCATATATTTACAAAAAATAAGTGCTTTCAGAATGGTATCAGTTATTAATATTATATAATAATAATATTATTATATTAATTCTATTGACTTTCTCACCCCCATGGGATACAGTATTTAAGCTTCAAAATCAAAACAAAATACATTTCTTAATATGTGTTAATATCTTTGAGATTTAAATGAGAAATAAAACAATAAATGCTATGTGCATTTAAATGCTTCATCCATATCCCTGTAGCATATCTTTCATTATTACTAAGCTGCTTCTTTATATAAATTTATTTTTTAAGATTTATTTATTTATGTATTTGTTTGTTTGTTTATTTATTTATTATTTATACAAGCACTGGGTACAGTCAGAAGTGTGGGAAGGTGAAAGAATTCACCAGAGCCAGAGCGGGGAGCAGAGCAGGCAGAAGGACTGAAGTACACTGCTGAGGGGAGCAGCTGGTGGCAGGAGAGGTCTCTGCGCCATGTGGGACCCTCCTCTGGTGGCTGGGGAGCAGCCAGGAATTGAACCGGCACTGCAGAGGCTGCGGACAGCTTTGCAACCCAGCGCTCAACCACTGCGCCACCAGGGAGGCCCATATATAAATTTCTTTATATAAATTTTATAGAGAAAATAAATTACAGATTTTATTTTACACACAAGGCCATTCATGTTTTACTTTATGGATGACTTACAGAATTTTCACACCGTACAATAATTTCTGACTTATTGAAACTCCACTGTACATCCCCAAGGTCTATAGAGTGCCTATCACATAATAGGTGCTCAAAAACTATTTTGATGATTTTGTGATACAATATTACCTACCTCACTATTTATGAATTGTTGACTTGTGGATAAGTGTCACTTGTAATTTTTTTTATAGCAATCAGGTGCCAAAATGCTTCCCTTGTTTAATTGTAAAATAATATTCATACTTCACCCTTTATGCTTTGCACTCATTCTCAAATTTGTTAATTCTATCTAATGATGTCGTAATAGTGATTTGTTTTAGGCTAAAAACATATTAGTGATGTTCTGGGGGGAAAACATACTAATAATGTGTACTGATAATGTACATCATGAAAACATTGTCTGCAGACTACCCTACATATTGTAATGTTGTACCAGTTTCAGGTTGCATGGTTTTCCATCAATTATTTAAAAATATGATAACAATCAAGCTTTGCTTGAAATACCTTCAGTGTGATGAGTAGTCTAAGAGCTTAGTTTAACTTATGAATATTAAGATCAAACCTTTCCTATCACACTTTTTTTTTTCCTAAATAAATTGTGATTATATCAAGACAATAATTTAATTTGGAAAGTAGGAAATGCCTCTCTGGGTCCTACTGAATATGTGTATGCGTATGTTGAGGTTTTATTTTTCCTTTATTTTTTTTTTTTGAAGACAGATCCTTTCAGTTCTATCACGATTAATTTTATTTTATTTTTTTATTTTTTAAAAGATTTATTTGTTTATTTATTTGTACAAGCACTGAGTACAGTCAGAAGAACGGGAGGGTGAGAAAACTCACCAGAGCCAGAGCGGGAAGCAGAGCAGGCAGAAGGACCGAAGTACACTGCTGAGGGGAGCAGCGGGCGGCAGGAGAGGTCTGCGCGCCATGTGGGACCCTCCTCCGGTGGCCTCGGAGCAGCCGGGGATTGAACCAGTGCTGCAGAGGCCGCGTGCATCTTCGCAGCCCAGAGCTCAACCGCTGCGCCACGGGGGAGGCCCCTATGAAGATTAATTTTAAATTATTTTTAACTGTATCTTTTTTATTTAGGCAGCATTGGTTTACAAAACTGTACATGACTTGTGAATATGAGTTCACACTTCTTAAGATGTCTTTGACCACCCTCTCCCAGAGGTAGAGTTAGATGGTGAAGACAAATACCAAAGTCTACTGGGTCTCTTCTCCCCTGTGCTCAGCTGTCGTCTTTGGGAAGCCCCAGTTTTATAGTCAGATTTCAAGGGTTCATTCTGGTTTAGTTTTCTGTTCCTTTGTTTCTTTGTATTCTACTTATGAGTGAAATCTTCTACTATTTCTCTTTATTCTTCTGACAAAGAAATTTCACTTTGTTTCACTAGGGGTTGAGTATAATGGTGAATTATGGTGAATAGAATTATGTTGAATTTGGGATGATCATGATAATAATTCAGTAAATAAGCTAAGCTTTATGTAGCTTTGTAGAATTAACACTGGACAGGAATTAGGTTAGCATTTGATCTAACCAATCTGTCTAACTGTTGAGGAAAACAGAGACAGTAAAGACAAATAATTTTCACCTTACTTTTACAAAATTCTTTATAGAGTTGGATATGGCAATCAAGATTCTTGTCTAGACTTTTGTTTACACACCATTATTTGGATAATTACTTGTTTTTGTTTTTTGTTTATTTGTTTTGCCATTGTATTACCTCTCCAAGGCATTGTTTTTTTTTTTTTTTTTTTTTTTTTTCCCTTCTCAATGATGACAAACTGATGAAAGTTTTAGTTCCTGTCTGAAATAGTAGCAGAAAACACAAGTTAATTAATTCATGTAAAAATTAACTTTGAAAAAAAATAATACAGCACCTTTGTCCTTGATCTGTAAATCAAATAAATTATTTCTTTCCCTGGTTCATATTAAAGGTTTT